TTCTCCCACCAGGGCCTGACATGGTGCAGAATCTACACCAGAAACTCAGTAAATTGGCCCTACTCACAGAAAATGTGCACACAAGCGCAAACCCCAGTGAGCAGACCCAGGAGAAACAACTCCATTTCGTTCCCTAAACAAACCACTTTCCCTCTCGCCTCCAGGCCTTGGCACCTGTGGTCCCTCTGCTTGGAACACCTCACCCCACCCTCCCCCATTCCCTGGCCACAGGAGGGTCTCCACTGAGACATCAGTTTCTCTAGAAGCATTTCCTGAATCCCAAGTCCAAGCGAGATGTGACTTTCCATGGTTATCCCCCATTGTAGCTCTTACTCTGTCCTGGGAGGCAGCAGGAAGTGATGAAAAGCGGTGGGGCTCCAAGGCAGAGGGCTGGGGTTCAAATCCCAGCTCCCCAGCTCCCTCACTGCGTGACCCTAGACAAGCACTTGACCCCTCTAAGTCTGTTTCCTCCTTTGTGAAGTGGGGCCAAGAACAGCAGTGCTGATGGGAGGGTCTCAGCGCAGTGCAGACCCTCAACAGACCCAGCAAAACCGTTCCTCCCTGTTCACTTGCCTGTCTCGCCAGCCAGGCTGCTACACCAGCCAAGGAGATGGCCCTGTTTGGTTCTCTGACCCCTGGCATGGGTCCTGCACACAGTGGGCACTCAGGAAATATGCAATGAGGAAACTAGACAAGGTTGGTTGACACAGTGGCTTTTAATTTTAATTCAGTTCAGCAGTGCCTGGTTTTAAATCTTGGTTCTACCACTTCCTTCCTGTGTGATCGTGGGCAAGTTACTTAACTTCTCGGAGTCTCATATGTTCCACCTGTAAAATGGGTATAAGACTAGACCCTACCTTATAAGGTTGTTGAGATGACATGAGAGAAAGGATGCAAAATGCTTAGCCCAGTGCAAACTTGCAGCAGAAGCCAGATCCGTGTCGGCTACCATCATTATTACTGGGCTCCAACACAATCTCCCAGTAATAATAATGGGAAAAAGCAGAAGCAGTGACAGATACCATTTTCCTGGGCTCCAAAATCACTGCGGATGGTGACTGCAGCCATGAAACGAAAGAATGTTTGCTCCTTGGAAGGAAAGCTATGACAAACCTAGACAATGTATTTAAAAAGCAAAGACATCACTTTGCCGACAAAGGTCCGTCTAATCAAAGCTACGGTTTTTCCAGTAGTCATGGACAGATGTGAGAGTTGGACCATAAACAAGGCTGAACACCAAAGAATTGATGCTTTTGAGTTGTGGTGCTGGACAAGACTCTTGAGAGTCCCTTGGACTGAAAGGAGATCAAACCAGTCAATCCTAAAGGAAATCAACCCGGAATATTCATTGGAAGGACTGATTCTAAAGTTCTAATACTTTGGCCACCTGATACAAAGAACCAACCCACTGGAAAAGACCCTGATGCTGGGAAAGATTGAGGGCAGGAGAGGGGGGTGACAGAGGATGAGAAGGTTAGATAGCATCACTGACTCAATGGACATGAATTTAAGCAAACTCTGGGAGATAGTGAAGGACAGAGGAGCCTAGTGTGCTGCAATCCATAGGGTCACAAAGAATAGGACACAACTTATTGACTAAACAACAACAACACAACCTCAGTGAGCCTCACCTCCCACTCTTGAAGGAATGTAACTAACACTCCTTACTTGGCTGAGTTTCTGAGTGGGTAATTGCAGACAAGGAGGATGAATGAGCCGAGCACAGAGTGGGCGCTTAGTAAATACAGAATAAATACAGGTTCCCTTCCGTTTCCTCAAACTAGGGACATACATGGACAGTTACTCAGTAACTTTTCACAAACATGAGTGAGGTGGGATCACATGTCAGGAGCAACAGATGCAGAGAAGAGGGTTAGGAGGGAGGGCAACTGGGGGAGGAACCAGGAAAGGCTTCGTGGAGGAGGTGTGTGATCTGGGTCTGGAAGGTGCAGGGAAAGCAGGGAGGTGGGAGTGAATGTATGGACAGAAGAGTTGGGGCACCCACCCCCGCAAAAGCAGAGCAGATTTCAAAGCAGCATCCAGAGGTTAGGGGAGATGTTTCCATTGCCTCTGTTTGGGAACTTGGGGTTTGGTAGCTCAGTGGCTAGAGAAGGCGATGGCAACCCACTCCAGTACTCTTGCCTGGAGAATCCCATGGACAGAGGAGCCTGGTGGGCTGCAGTCCATGGGGTCGCTGAGAGTCAGACATGATTGTGCGACTTCACTTTCACTTTTCACTTTCATGCATTGGAGAAGGAAATGGCAACCCACTCCAGTACTCTTGCCTGGAGAATCCCAGGGACGGGGGACCCTGGTGGGCTGCCGTCTATGGGGTCGCACAGAGTTTGACACGACTGAAGCGACTTAGCAGCAGCCCCAGCAGCACAGTGGCTGAGCTCCATGTGCACGGAGCCTCTGTGCTAGGAATGTTGTCATGGATACAGGCCAACAACACAGACAGCAGAATAACTGAGCTGGGGCGGGGGGGGGGGGGGGGGGGCGGGTGGAACGTGCTGGAATCATCTGCCCCAATCACTCTTCAGATGTAGAAACTGAGGCCCAGAGAGAGGAAGGGACTTGATCAAGATCACACGGCAGGTCAGCAGCAGAGCTGAGACCTACGCTTAGTCTCCTAATGGCTAGATCAGAATTCTTTTACTGATTACGGCAATGACAAGTTCACGGTACTTGTGCAGTGCTTATTGTATGCACCTGTGTCTTAGCTTCTTAGGAAGATGAAGTCATTTGAGCCCCACAACTACCCTTGAGTGAGGGACTATCATTACTCCCATTTTGCAGATGAGCAAACTGAGGCCCAGGGAACTGAACTGAGTTGCCTGAAGTCACACTGCTAGTAAAGAGCAGAGCCAGGATTCAACCCCAGGCTACAAAGCCCCAGAGTCTGGGTGTGTAACCAGTACACTCAACTGTTCTCAGCATGCATCCATCCCATCACGCAGGCGTGCACCCATCCACCCAGTCAAGCATGAATGCATTCATTCAAGCAGCATTTATTTGAGGGCCTACTGTTCCAGGCACTCAGGAATCAGCAGTGAATGAAAGCCAACCCCACGGAGCCCTGCCCACCCCTCTGTGACCCCTGCCGCCTTCTACCGTGCCCAGCCATTTCAGCTCGCTAAAAACTGTCTACCTGTAAAGCCTGGTCTCAAATTTAGCTGCTAAAGACCACAGACCGCTGTACTGCTGGGAAACCACAAACCAACCCCCCTTCAAAAGTCATTCTGTCACTTGCTTAGGAAAGGTGGAGTAAGATGATTGATCCAGTATCCATTTCTGGATAGAATGAGTTGCATGGAGGACCAAGGCCTCACTGGCAAAAAAAAAAAAAAAATCCTCAAATCAGATTTGGAAATAGTACACAGGACTTGAAGCGACAGAGCAAAACAATGCAACAGTTTTTCGCCACCACAAGAGCTTTCAACAAGTCCAGGACCCTTGGCAGGGAGGAAGTGGGTCAGTCACGTGCCCTGGACACTGTCAGATAGCTGAGCACTCTTTCGGGTCTCCCAGAAGACCCAGACCTTCTCCTGCTTATAGCGGAACACCTGCTTGGTTCCAGCTCCACGACACTGTTCTGCCCTGAAAGGCTGGCATGACTTCCCAGAGGAGGAAACAGACTCAGAAAAAGGAAGCCTTTCCCAACACAGGCCTGGCTCTCCAAAGACTGTGGTCCCCCCCAACATCGCCACTTGAGTGCAGCCTTGGGCAGGCCTTGTGGCTTCTCTGATCCTCCAGTTTCTTTTTCCTTAAAGTGAAGACACCGAGACACAAGGGCAGAAAGCTCCCTGCCAGCCTGGCATTCGATGCTTTCATCTGATGAGGCTGCAAGATTGGGGCCGAGGACAGGAAGAAGGGTCAGGCAGAGGTTTCCCCAACCCACATCACCGCCAACACCTACATCTCACCTTCACTAGGACCGAGTCAGCTTGTAAGCAGTCCCAGAACAAGGGATCTTAAAGCAGAGATCCAATTCAGGGAAGTGAGGTGTTTTATGCCCATGCTACAGATGGGACTACAGATTCAAATCTATATGAGAAGTATTCTCTCCCTGCCACTGCCCTCCCTCAACACGCTGAGAGGTTCTGAACATCCTGTGCCACTCGACCAAGTCAAAGGAACCGAGTGCCTACTGAGCTCAGGTTATGAATAGAATTAAGTTGCTGACTTAGTTTACTTGCTGACGCGTCTGACTCTTTGTGACCCTATGGACTGTAGCCCACCAAGCTCCTCTCTCTGTTAGATTCTTCAGGCAAGAATACTGGAGTGGGCTGCCATTTCCTCCTCCAGGGGATCTTCCCAACCGAGGGATCAAACCCGTGTCTCTTATGTCTCCTGCATTGACAGGCGGGTTCTTTACTGCTAATGCCACCTGGGAAACCCATGCATGCATGCATTATTAATAATCCCCAATATCTGCATAATTGCCACCTCTTGGCTGTGCCAATGCTCACAGCCTCAGTTTCCTCTTCCACAAAACGGGAATACTCATCATTATTCTGCCCTGAGATGACCGGACGGGAATCACGCATCCCATTTTGCAGATGAAGAAACTGAGGCTCAGAGAAGTGGCATTCAGTGCACTGAAGCCACAACTCGAACACGGGTCTGTGACGCTTAATGTAGGAGGAGAAAGGAGAGAAAAGATCTGGGGTGAGCTGAGATTGTGAACGGAGCACACTTTTATCTGCTGGCAGTCTGCCGATGGTCACAAATGAGGGGTGATTGGCCCACCCGGGGGCCATCAGGGGCCTGCAGCCTGCCCCGGGCACAGCTGCCGCCCTGGCAGACCCCCAAAGAGCCCCCCGAAGAATCTCTGTGCTCTCAAGCTTTTTTTCCCATTCCAAACATGCCAGAGCCCCACGGACCCCGGAGGCTGCTACTTAGCGCCAGATTAATCACACCGAATTCTCCATCCAGATATTGCGTGCAGGCCGAATTCCCACCGCTAATCGCCGTAATATTCTCCTCGGCGTGTGCAGGCGGCCGGGGCGATGTTCCAGGAATATTAATTCTCCACCGCCGGCTCACTCCCACCACACGCATGCGCCTCCTGCACCGCCGGCTGATGTTCGGGGATCAGGGGACCGGGCAGGGGGACAGGAGACCAGCAAGAGGCAGAGCCCAGGTGGTAAACCCTTCCTGGGGCCTGGGGCCCCCCGGGTGGGAAGCAGTGGCCCCAAGGCCTGGCTGACAGTTTAACCTGAGCCACTGCAGGGCTGGAGGTGGCTCACGCCTGCAGCGGGGGTCACCCTGCTCCCCCTGTCTCTCCTTCCAGTCTTGCCCTGGAGCCCCCCTCCGTCCCCAGATCTGCAGGAGTCTCAGGGCTCCTGAGAAGTCACAGAGTACGAGTCCTCTGATGTCCTCTCAACACAGCAGAGCTTTGAGGAAATGGGCAGCCAGGGACCAGCTAATCCCAGCCGAAAAAAAAAAAAAGCACACACACAAAAAGGAGTGAAAATCTTTCATCTGCTCAAAATATAAAAACGTGGGCGGCAGAGGGGACTCGGGTGAAAGAAGTTGGGCTCCGCTGTGGGCCTGTCCGTCCTGGAGGGGACAGGCCTCTGCTGCTGGCAACACAGACTGTTGCCTAGCACAGGTAGGGGACCCCCTCTCCAGAGCGTGATCATTAGCAGAGGAGCCTGGGAAAGGCTGGTGGGGACAGCATCTAGCTTCTGGAGGGTCTCTAAGGAGAGCAAGCCTACTGGCTCTGTTTGACACATATGGGCATATGGACAAGACACTGGCCTGTCCTCAGAGGGGGCCCAGCAATCCAAGAAAAACAACAGTGCTCCTGAGCACAGGCCCTGGGAGCACACCTCCTGCCCATCCTGACCCCGGGACCCCCAGAACAGCGCTGGGAAGAGCCACATACTCAGGGGCTTTGCAAAACACCCTTCTGACCTTTGTTGTTCAGTGGCTAAGTCGTGTCTGGCTCTTTGCCACCCCATGGACTGCAACACACCAGGCTTCCCTGTCCTTCACTATCTCCCCGAGATTGCTCAAACTCATGCCCGATGAGTCGGTCATGTCATGTCTCTGATCTTATCCTGGTTCAAACTCAGTACCACCAGGGGAAGCAGTTTCACGCGCAGTTCACTGATAAGGAGCCTGACGCGTGGCCAGGTGAAGTCAATGGCCCAGCCAGAGCGGTCCCCAGGCCGACAGAATCCAAAGCCAGTGCCCTCTCCTCTCCAAAGCACAGCCTCACCCCACACCCCAGGGCTCCTCTGCTCAGAAATGACTTCTAAGGTCCTTCCTGCTCCCCCATCCTGACCAACAAGCCAAAGCACATATTGAGCACCTACTGTGTACCAGGCCCAAGGATCCAGAAATGCATAAGGTTGTATTGTTCAAGGAGCTCACCATTGGGTGGGAGGAGAGAAAAGTAAACCAGTGACCACGCTCCAACCTGAGCTCCACGGGAATGGGGCCTTCCCCATGGGCTTCTGGGGGTTAGGGAGGCCTTCCCGGAGGAGAAGGAGGAGGCAATCCTAGAGGAGAAAGTGGGGGTGGTGGAGGGATCCCTACACTGTGTTTCTGGACCAGAGTGGATCGATAAGGCTGAGTGGCTCAGTGAAGGCGGCCTCCGTGCGCAGAATCAGATGAGAGCAGGAAGGACATGGCTGCCGGCCGGATGGTGTGCTAGGCAGGGCAGGGTCCCAGGCCCAGTGTGGGTGAGCTGAGCCAGCATCTGGCCAGGCAAAGGCAGGGCCCTGGGCTACGGAGGGCTGAGGAAGAGGCCTCTTGACCCCCAGGGCCTCTGACTCCTGGTCCAGGGATCTGACTGGGAGGTGGGCCTGTAAGAACACCCCCAACGGTGGGTCCAGCCTAACAGAGTGAGCAAAAGGGGGTGGTGTGAAGGTTTGGGGCTCAACCCAATTCCTTTCTGGCACTAAGAGATTAATAAGAGAATTAAGGTTGAAACCATAGAGGCGGGAATTCTCTGGTGAATTCCAGAGGTTGGGACTCCGTGCCTTCACTGCTAAGGGCCTGGGTTCAATCCCTGGTCAGGTAGCTAGGATCCCACAGGTCGTGAACGGCGGCCAGAACAAAGCCCACAGAGGTAAGGGATGGAGTTCAAGCCCCCGGCCTCTCCCACGGCGGCCAGGTCCTGTCCAGCCCAAGCGACTCCAGTTGCCCCCCATTCCCCTGTGGACCTGAGAGGTCTGCCTGGGCAGGGGCCCGGTGCCCCTCACACTACCCCTCACACTGGCCTTGTGTGCGTAAGAGAACTGAGGGGTCCCTCACTGGTTTTTCAGACACGGACATGCCGCTTGGAGACAAAGCGCAGGTGGAAATAAACCCTCACGGGCCTCACACGGGCCGGGCTCTCTGCCCGCGATCTCACGGGGTGGCATTACAAGGAGGGAGCTCACCCAGGGCCCGCTTGCAGCAAGAGGAAGCATTTCATGGCTCTTACGTCTGGGCCTGGGTGTTGTGTGCTGTCCCTCAGGCCCCGCTGTTCCCAATCAGAACAGGCGCACAGAGGCCAGGAGGCAGCAAAAGGATAGCTTCTCACTCCGCTCCTGCCCTCACTGTCCCCAAGCACCAGTCCTAGGCCTTGGACTCACTTTTGAGAAATCCAAGGCAGGGCGGAGACTCAGCTGAGACCCAGCAGATAGTCTGAGAGACTTGGCGGGGGGGAGCCAGGGCTCAGCCCTGCCCCCAAGTAACATCCCAGCCTGTTAACTATAACCCGGGTGTGCCACGGGACCCCAAGAGGGTAGACAGCAAGTTACCCTGGGAAAATCCCCGAAGGCTTCCTGGAGAAGGGGGCATTTAACAGCAACCTAGAGGGCAAGGAAGCCTGTGTGAGCTGCAAAGCTCCACACACGTAAGACACAGGACCCCATAACTTCAAGGGAGACTGGGTCCAGTTTCAGTTCTCAGCCCTCACCTCCCTCCCAACCCCATTCCAGGCCAGCCCCTTCCCATTCTCTGTATCCCTATCTTCCGCCTCCAGGTACTTATGACTGTGGCCCGTCCCTGTGAAAGGAAAGTCCAGCTGAATGACTAATGTGACCACGGCAGCATAGACATGTACTTGGTGTGTCCCTGGGCTCCAGTCTCACACACCATCTCCCTTTTGGCACTGCCCACCAGAGTGGCAGGGCCTGGGTGTCAGATGCTGGGCCCTTGTAGGCCAGATAGTTGGACTAGGGAGTCAGGCTCTGGGCTGTCTGTCCCTAGACCCAGCCCTGGAGCAAAGCAGAGGACAGGGTGCGAAGCCTGGATGAGCCAGGGGCCCAGTCAGTCCCCCACAGGAGGCCTCGTGGTCAGGCCCAGGCTCCTGGAAGAGGCTGACAAGTATCATTCCTGGGCCCCAACCCCCAAGAGAGCCAACAGCGGCAAGCGTTGGCTCCTGGCTCCTCCAACCAGGGAAAGACCGGGGTCTGGGCTCAGCCTCCCCACTCCTGACTAGACTGAGCAAACCACCTTTCAGCTCCAAGCCTTGGTCTGTCCATCTGGAACATGGACTGGCCACACCTATCTTGCAAGGTTATTGTAAAGACTCTAATGAGTGATGCGAGTGATGCATTGTCTCAAAGTGAGTGACAAACAGGAGAGGTAAGATGCTGGCTCCTTCCCCAGGGCTGGGCATTTAAAGAGACCTACGCAGATAAAAACAGGGCCTCTCCTGGACAGGGAAATTCACACTGGCCTCCTTTATGGCTCATAACAGCCCAGAAAGGGGAAATTACTGATCTAATTGTACAGGTGGGAAACTCAGGGCAGGCAGGTGAGGGGCTCGCCCAAGGTCACAGAGCGCCAAGTTCCCAGGTGTTCCATGCCTGACTCTCTTAAGTGGGTGCTTTCAGGCAAAGGGGTGGCAGAGAGACCAGAGGCACCAAAAACCAGCCCACTAAACCCCAGCTAAGAGGCTTAGTTGGCCCCCAACCCTGAACCCTAGCTCAGGAAGAAGACAGCCCCCCACCCCCACCACCAGCCTCCCCAAGCCTGCAGCCCTCCTGGGCTCTGGTGCAGTGGGGGGTGGGGGGGCTTGGTTTGAAAGTCAGGGGCTTTTCAGCCCTACGATGGAAGCCAGGAAGGGGCTGGGAAGTGGGGAACAACCCCGCAGGATGAGCTTCCCCATGGGGAACCACCCCCTGCCAGCACCCTGCCCACCGAGCCTGCAGTGCGGTGCATTAAGGGAGCTCAAGGCGCAGGCAGGCACCTGCCAATCTCAGCCCACGGCCCCCGCCCCGGCCCCCCTCTCCCGGAGGACAGATAATTCTCTCGCTCTCCCAGCCTGACAAAATAACTAATGCTAACTCAATAAAGTCCCCCTTGAAGGTTTTTAATTACCAGACTGTGCCGAAGACTAAAGACTCCGGGAACGGGAGGGAGGCCGGGGCGGGGGTGAGGAGGCTGATGGAGGTCGGAGGGGCGGAGGCAGGAAGCAACTCCCCTTTCAGCTCAGGGAAGAGGGCAGGGCCAGGCCCGCTGCTGTCCAGGGTGCTGGGCCGGGCGGTCACAAGGAATTTTAGGAGTCATATTCGCAACAGCGGCCACTGACGGAGACAAGGCTAGTTACCTAGCAGGGACTTGACGGAGATCATCTGCTCTAAGCCTCACAGCTGACCGCAAGGTAGCCGCTCATGGTCCCACTGTACAGATGAGAACGAGGAGGCTTGGGGTGGTGGTGGGGGACCGCGGAGGTGGGGGTGGGTAGCGGTGTGCTGTGGTCACACAGCCAAGCCAGGATTGTCCAGCTATACTCGGTGACGGGCAGAGTGCCTGGCTGCCGGCAGAAGGAAACTCAACCCAGGGATGCAGTTGGAGGGCACAGGAATGACCCTCAGGGAAGGTCGAATGATGCGCCGTGGCTTCTGTGCAATAAGATGGGCTGGGCTGCGGACCCAGTCAGCAGAGTCAGGAGCTGGTTGGCTACAGGCTCTGCCCGAGGGGACCCAAGCCGAACTTAAAGGTGGGGGCAGAATATGCCGTCTTAGGGCAAGGTGGGAGGCTCAGACACTCCCATGATGAACCCCCATGGCCACCCAGGAAGATGATGAAGGGAGGGGAAGGCACCCCAGGAGAAGGGGTGGTACCTGAGCCACACCCCTGCCCTGAGCACTCCCTCCCTGATGGGACCTGCACGCTGCCTCTGCTCCAGAACACCCCCAAGCCCCTCCCTGCCCCGCCCCTGAAGCCACCCACCCACCCACTCCTCTCTCCCAAGCCAGGGGCTTTCCTTCCGATTTGCCTGAGCCTGTTTCCACCACAGGGTTCCCTGCCCTGACATCTTTACCCCCAGGTCACAGCCCAAAGGACCCCTCCTTGGATAAGTCTTCTTGGGACTTCCTACTTTGGCCTTCTTGGTCACAGGCCCCCACAGCAGCTGCCGGCAGAAATGCCATGCAGCCTCCGAGAGTCCCAACCCCACACCCACCCCTCCCCAGGCAGCCTTCCCAGGCCCCAGGCGGTGACCAGCTCCCCACTCGGTACAGGGTGCTTGGGCATCAGTGAGGTAGAGACGCTGAAGCTGTCTTGCTGGGTTCGAATCCTGCCTTAGCAGCTTATGAGGCGTATGAACTTCTCTGAACCTCAGTTTCCTCCTCTATAAAATGAGGGGTAAGTCCCTTATTTGTAGCGGCCTTAGTGCCTGGTGAGTGCGTGGTGTTGCTTAGAATTACCGGCACTGTCTGCCCATCCTCCCTCGGCCACGTCTCCCCTAACTGTTCGCTGCATCCTTCGGCCTCAGCACAGGCCCTGGACACGTGCACAGCAGGGGGACCAGCTCTATGCCTGCCCCTGGGAGACAGGCCGTGGAGGTCCCACTGGCTCCTTCTCCCAGATGAGGACGTGGAGGCTGCGGGAGGCTTGCCGCTATGCCGTGGACCCATTGCCCGCCTCTGCTCTTTTCACTGCTGCTTCTGAGAATTTGCTCTTCCCAGCTCTTCGGAGGCACCAACTTGGGGGGCGGTGCCGAGAGCCAGCGCAGCTGTGCCTGGCTCCTGAGGGCTGCAAGCGGGCTGCTGGAGGCCCCAACGCCCAGCCTTGCCTGGAGCCTCCTGGCTGGGATCACAGCCCTGCGGCGTTCGAGCTGCTGCCCACCAGCCGGCCCCCTGGCATCGGGCCCGGGATGCCAGCCAGCCGGGAGAGGAGGCAGCTTGGCTGGCAGCCAGCTCACGGTGCCCGAGCTGTCAGCCAGGAGGCAGGCCCGGCAGGGCTGAGACCCCCCGCCTCTGAACGGGGCCCTTGGCCAGGCTACGGGACAGGGCCAAGCTTCTCATCACCACAGCTACAAGGGGGCCCTGCGGGTGCCCGCTCCAAGCTGGGCTCAGGGACGTAATGTTGCCGGGTGGGGACCCAGGAGGACTCGTTCCCACGTACTCAGCTTAGCTTTTCACTACTGTGGAAGGAGCACGTGGAGCGGAGGGAATTTTCAAGTCAAATAATAATAAAAACAGCAACAACCACAGCTGACATTTAGCAAGCTCTTACTCCGTGCCAGGTGTTTTATGTGTGACTGCACAGATTCCTCCCAAAGGGAGATGCTATTATTATCCCCGCTCTACAGACGTGGCAACTGAGCTCAGAGAGGTGTAGCAACTCACCCGGAACCACACAGCAAGCTGGGGAGTACTCAGAATCCAAATGCAGGCTTTAGAACCTGTGCCTCAACCTCTCCACCACACTGGCTCAGGCAGGGCTAAGTGCCCACACTGGACAGTCCAGCTGGGTGGCCTTTGGCAAGGACGCCACCCATCTGCAAAACGGGCATCCTCAGAGAAGACCGCACTGTAGAGCTGACTGGGGGCTGAAGACAGAATCGGGCTTGGCAGAGGACACGTTCCCTAAATACGGCCGGGGGGCTGGTCACATTCATGGAGCGGCTGAACAGGGAGGAGTGAGCCCCATGATAAGGAGCCTGTCTCATCACTCTCTGCCAGCCTGCCTCCATCCCTGCCCCCCCACAGCCTCCTGGGCACCCCCCATGGGCACGGCTGAGCTAGAAGGAGCAGATGCTGGGGGGGGGGGGCAGTTCCTGGGGCCAACCATGAAAGCCCAGCAAGCCAAAACTTTGAAGACTGGCCCCAGAAGCTCCCCTTAGTACCTGCCTCTCCCCACCCCAGAAGGTAAACTCGAGAAGAACTGGCCAGAGAATAAAGGGCCACTGGATTGAAACAGATGTGTGCAGACACTTGTCTCGTGTGGCCTCTTTGCCCAGATTCTCCATCCTCCCAGCAGTTGGGGACTATCAGGCAGGGCCCTCCATTCCTAGGTCAGGCTCTCACAGGAAAGGCACTGAGCAGTCATCAGTGAGCGTGTGCCAGGCCCACGGCTGCCCGCTGAGGGGGCACAGGCTACTTTACTACTCAGCCCAGCTGCTCACATCTGTACAAAGTGCTGGGGCTTGTCTTTTTTTTTTTAGCATCTCTCGTCTCGCTCAGTTCAAAACAAGACCAATAGGGAGACCATATTGCCATCGTCCCCATTTCCCACTTGCCCAGAGAGGGACATTGCCTTGCCCAAAGCCACATGGCTGACCAGGCTGCAAACCTGGCACAGCTATTACTAGATGCCCTCACCCAGGGAGGGCCAAGCCCTGCAGTGAGAGCCACTGCTTTGTTCCCAGAGCAACTCCTTTGAGAGGCTGAGGGCAGCAGAGGAAGGACTGAGAAGGAGGACCCTCCGGATGGGCAGGGAGCACATGAGGGAGGACACTCTGGATGGGCAGGGAGCACCGTCAGGGAGGACCCTCTGTATGGGCAGGGAGCACTCTGAGGGACTACCCTCTGGATGGAAAGGGGTCTTCTGGAGACAAGGCAGGTAAGGACCCGGTTGACAGTGGCTGGGGACATCCAGTGGGCACCCCAAGGCAGGAGCCAGCCCCAGTGTCACTGGCTGAGGCCTCAAGGGAAACCAGGCAGATGCCAGAAGCGCTCCTGGTGACTCTACAGTTGGAGAGCTGGTGAGAAACGGTGAAAGTCCCTGAGGATCACAGAAGCCTAGCCTGTGCCCTCCTGCCAGACACCTGGGCAGCAGAAGGCACGCTGATCCGGGTGGGGGTGGGGGAGGCAGAGGAGGTCTGGGCTCCGGCTCAGCTGTGCGGCTGTGTGTCTAGGCACCTCTCAGAGCCTGGGCTCCTCACCCGTGTGCTGGTGGAGCAGGACGGATGACCCCCTTGCCGCCCCAGGACGCACCGGGCACGCAGTAGGCCTACTGGCCCGCTGGCACAATTACAGTCTTTGCCCTAATTCCTTCATCTCGACACCTGCCTGTCATGGACACACCTGCTAGGAGGACAAATTTAACCACAGAAAGTAGAGCAGGGACAGGCCAAGGCCTGGGGGACAGCAAGCATCGCCGGTCCCAGACTGGCCAGCCCAGCGCCTGGACACCGTCCCTGTGTCAGCCAGCCCAGAAGTGGCCTCGACTGGTGTGTTCTCAGCCTCAGTGGCTGGGACCAGAGCATGGGATGGTGAAAAACCCGGGGGCAGGGGGTGGAATCACAGACACCGAGATTTCTACCCCACTTGCTTCCCCCTCTGGAAGGGGAGAAAAATGGAGGTTTTATGGGGCCACCAGGCAAATCCTGATAGGATGGGCCCTGGGGACTCAGCCTTTAGAAGGCTTTGGAGAGACAGGAAGGGGTGGTGGGCAGAGGGCGAGGGTCCCCAGAGCCACCAATGGGGGTTCCCAGGGAACATCTACTAGGCAGGAGGTGATGGAGGGTCCTTCCTAAACTCTCCCCTCCTCTCCCTTCAACCCCCTCTGGGTGGTCACAGCCTCCCACCTGCACCCCCTCTGCTCTCTGCACTGCCCACCCCTACCTTCCTTGTCTTACTCCCCCACCACCAAATCTCTCCCTCCCAGTCCATTCTCTCCGCGCCCCCCTCCCCCATACTGCCAGTGGGCTTCCAAAGCCCCAGGCCCCAGTTTCCCCCCAGGACAAAAAAGGTTGTAGCCCCCCAAAACTGGGCAGCTTTGGCCTCAAGACCTCATGAATAAAGGATACTGGCAGTGGCTGGTCACTCAGGTGCAGGTAGGACTGGGGCAGGAGGCAGAGGGAGGGGCGGGGGGGGTGGTCACCCTCCACAGTGGCCACAACCCCACTGGTCAGGGCTGCTTCTCCCTGTCCTCAGACAGCAAGGTGTCAACCCCTCTAACACCTCACCCCACAAGGCAGCCCCCTCCCCAAAACTAACCTCCCCTGGGGTGACCTGGCCAGGCATGTAATGTCAGGAATGGAAAGCAATTAGCGGGCACCTGGAGAAGGAGGGGTGGGGAAGAGAGAACAGCAGAGAGGAAGTGGAGGGGAAGGGGGAGGAGGGAGAAGGGAGGAAGGGGAGGAGAGACAGGGGAGGAGGAAGGGAGGGAGGAGGAAGGAGGGGAGAAGAGAGAAAGGGGGAGGAGGAAGGGAGGGGGGAGGGGGAGAGGAGAGGGAAGGGGGGAAGGGGGAGAGGAGGGGGAAGGGAGGGGGAGGAGGAGAGGAGGGGGAGGGAGGAGAGAATGCAGGGGAAGGAGGCGGAGGGGAGAATGCAGGGGAAGGAGGGGGAGGGGCGGGGAGGGGAAAGAGGGGGAGGGGCGGGGAGGGGAGGGGGAGGGGCGTCTGAAATCCCGCAACATCAAAGCCTTCCCCGCCGCAGAGCTCAGTCACGTGCGCGGCCTCGTTCCTTCGCTGGGAGAAGCCGCTGGGCCCGGGGCTGCTGAAGGAATTTTAAAACGAGGCACGCTGCCTGGAATATTGGAGGGGGGGGCGGGGGGGGTGCAGGCAGAGAGCTTTGTCTGGAGGCAGGTTTTGAAACCTTTCTCTCCGAGGAGAGTGGCAGGGCAGATGGGGGCCTGTGGTCAGCCGCGGGGCAGGTGGCCAAGAGTCAGGACCACCCAGCGATGCCGGGGGCCCCGGTGGTGGGAGGCTTGTGGCCGGGCCAGCCCAGTGATCCAGAGACGCCGGAAATCTGGACTTTTTACGTGAATACTGGAGGTGGTGGGGAGGGAGAGGGAGAGAAGACCACAGGGGCCAAAGATAGCCTGTGCTCACCTGGTCCAGGACGCCAGGATGCTGGGCGCCAAACCCATTTATCAGTGAGGACACCAGAGGGCGCAGACAGGCCCTCCTGAGGGTCCCAGAGGGCTCCCCAGGGCGTCGGCATGGGGTCATAACCCCGCCGCATTCAGCAGGGGGCAGGGCGCCCACCCCTTGTCTCACCCAGGCCCGCCTCTCCACCGCCACGAGGCCTGCTGCCCCTGCCCACTTCTCACGTTCAGTCCTGACCCATCCGGCGAAGTCCTTCAACTCCCTGAAGGCCCCGGGCTCAGCTGTGTTCTTATGAAATCACTCAGCTGTTCACTGTGATGTCCACTCCCCACACAAATAGGGCCCGACCGCGGACTCTGGTTGGGACAGAAAAAGGCTGAGCCTCCAAGGAGGAGGCAGCAGCTTCCCCAGCAGAGAGGTGAGCAGGGTCGGCGGGCGGGGGTGGGGGTGCTCCCCAAAGGCAGGCCCAGGGCAGGAGCAGAGAATTCCAGGCAGAAGGTGTGCGTTGCGGTAGGTTGGGGTGTGTGTGTGTGTGTAACCGGCCGCCAGTAGCCGAGGGGAGGCAGAGTGGGAGGTGGATGAGACAGCCTGGTGGAGCGCCTGAGGTGTCTGAGCAACAGGGGGGCAGCTGAGATCTTCGCTCTGGGGTCTCAGGATGCCTCTCTGAAGTCCTCTGTCCCTCCCTGTGTTCCCTGCACAAGGATTCTCTGCACACTGATGCTGGGCCAAGGCCCCGGGGCAGGCAGATGGGTGCCGGCCCTTGGGTGGTGGGGGAAGCCGATGTGAACACCACAGGGTGAGAGGGGCCGGGACTGGGTGGGCCTGATCCCTTGGGAGCCCCCCTGCTAGGGGAAGGCAGAGGGAACAGCAGGGGCCCGGGCGCAGTGAGGAGACAAAGTGAGGCTTTTCTGAGCAGTGAAAGTGGCTCGGCAGACCCAGGTGTGGGCAGGAGCCAGGCCGAAGGGCACAGAGCTTCCTGACTTTATCCCAAGGGCGATGGGGGAAGTGAGGGTGGGAACAAGACAACTAATGCTTATGGGACTGCATGCATGTGCCTTGGCTCTGGGAAGGCCATCCCTGGGTGGGAGGGAGGACTCCTGTTCTATCTGCAGAACCCGGGCGGATGGGCAGCTGTTCCTGCAGACAGACTTCATTTCCAGCCAAGAAGGAACCTCCAGGGCAGGGAGCCCTTTGGCTGGACAGCCACAGAGGCCGGTGTGAGCAAGACTCAGACGGACAGCTCCCTTCTCCCCCACCCTACCCAGACAGCTAGGTGAGCTCCAGCAAGTCCCTCAACCTGAGCCCCC